AGACCGCATAATGTATGACAACAGTTCACGAGTGAAGACCGCGTAACGTATGACAACAGTTCACGAGTGAAGACCGCGTAATGTATGACAACAGTTCACGAGTGAAGACCGCGTAATGTATGATACAGTTCACGAGTGAAGAACGCGTAATGTATCATACAGTTCACGACTGAAGAACGCGTAATGTATCATACAGTTCACGACTGAAGAACGCGTAATGTATCATACAGTTCACGACTGAAGAACGTGTAATGTATCATACAGTTCACGACTGAAGAACGCGTAATGCATCATACAGTTCACGAGTGAAGAACGCGTAATGCATCATACAGTTCATGAGTGAAGAACGTGTAATGCATCATACAGTTCATGAGTGAAGAACGTGTAATGCATCATACAGTTCATGAGTGAAGAACGTGTAATGCATCATACAGTTCATGAGTGAAGAACGTGTAATGTGTGATACAGTTCATGAGTGAAGAACGTGTAATGTGTGATACAGTTCATGAGTGAAGAACGTGTAATGTGTGATACAGTTCATGAGTGAAGAACGTGTAATGTGTGATACAGTTCATGAGTGAAGAACGTGTAATGTGTGATACAGTTCATGAGTGAAGAACGTGTAATGTGTGATACAGTTCATGAGTGAAGAACGTGTAATGTGTGATACAGTTCATGAGTGAAGAACGTGTAATGTGTGATACAGTTCATGAGTGAAGAACGTGTAATGTGTGATACAGTTCATGAGTGAAGAACGTGTAATGTGTGATACAGTTCATGAGTGAAGAACGTGATGTATGAGGAACTGCTCATGTTGCCTCTGTGATTTAGTTTTTTCAAGGGTTGAAAAACTGCTTTTGTTGTGAAAGCTAGGCAATAAAAATATGAAATTAAAGCAAAAGATATTAAAATGTTAACAGTTGAAATTGTGAAAATAAGTAACTTGAAAACCTCAAATAAATTTTACATTCAAAGGAGAAGAAAACATGTATCGTTCATTTTATTTCATAATTTTCAACCTTTCAATTTTATTTCATAATTTTCAACCTTTCAATTTTATTTCATAATTTTCAACCTATCATTTCACTCTACATTGATGATTTTGCTACAGTTAGTGTTAGGGTAGAGAAAATATCAAGCTCTATAAAAAATACTAATTTAGGCTGTTATAGAGATTATGCAAATGAAAAATCACCTTTTACTCAGAATAACTCAGTAGGATCTTTGTAAATTCATAGACAAACCTTTAGTAAAAATACTTTATTAAAATGTCCGTTTGGTTTACAGACTTGTAATGTTTACTAAAAGCTTGTCAAATTTCATGAAGCTAGGGTTTGAGAAGTTGGGACTAGGCATTAATTGGAATAATGATTCTAAAATGTGTCAACATGACTGTCTCTGCATTTACTTTCACTGGCCTCACTTTTGGAAGTCAAATAAAGCTAGGTTTCTCACAATGGCCAGGATAGCAAGGTGTTATCTCTTCACGCCTCCAACCATTGTAGACAGCAAACAGGCTTTTATCACTGCTGGCAACATTATCATACACGAAAGGTCAAGGCTTTTACCCGAAAATGCCGAAATGCTACTGTTCCTCAAGTACAATTTAAACAAATTCAAAAAAATTCTGTAAAATGGGGGTGCACATTTTTGTTAGTTAATTTTTGAAAGTTGAAAGTAAAACTGGAATGTTCTATTGGTGATTATTTGGTTAAATGTAATAAATGTCAATTTTGTTTTTGTTTCTAATTTTTGTGTATTTTGTTTAATTTTTGGGAGGGGGGCGAGGGGAGAACCCGACCCTGCCCGAAGTTTAGTGGCCAGATACCTGGACTCAGTATTTGGCCATATTTTACTACCCGTGCATCTCTAATCAAAATATAAGTGATGGTGGAAGGGGATAAGGAAAAGAGAGGGAGATTAATAGAGACAACGATCCTTTAATTACTTGAAAGAAAATTTTTTTGTTTTTCCCATGGGGCAGCAAAGAATTTAAATATAAATTTGTCACATGGTGCAAGTTGTAAGACAAATACACTCGTATAATTGGTTCCATTGTTTTGGAGCAGGGAGGTGGGTGGTGCCTATGCATTTGAGTCAAGTATGTTCTAAAAACCTGTCACCTAACTTTGATATGGTTTAAGCTGTGTAAATTTGGTTTCATAACATGCAATATATGATGAATTTTGAGGTGCAGATAGGATGGACGTTTATGTAAAACATGAAAGCTGTACTGGAGACTGTTATGAAGTTAGAGATGTAGTTGCATGTGATGTATAAACTCTGTCTTCAAGGACAAGTTTCATAAGTTTGTATAGACTTCAGTTTGTAATTTAGAACAAAAAATATATATTGATGCTAACTTTTTATGGTGCATATTTTCAAGGTTATACATGTTATGCAAATTCAAAGTGTTTGGCCTTCAACTTACCAATTAGTGTTTGATTGTGTAAAAAGTAATTTCTTGTTTTGTATATTTTATGTGGTGTATGGACTTAACTGATTCATTTCATAACTTTCTGCAAGTTTTCTTCTTTGGCAAGGATTTGTAACATGTATATGGTTCCATAGAATTATTCTTCAAGTTTTTGCATGTTCAGCTTCAAAAAGAAAACACTTAAGTAATTTTTAAATTTTAAGATATGGGGTAATGAAAAATGTAGGTAGTGTTTTGACCATTTTAAAAGTCTGTACTTTGGTAATTTGTTATTGCATTTCAGTAGAACTTCTTTACTTTTTACTCAAAGAATTTATTGAGAAATAATATTTATTTGTGGTCCCACTAATTACTGCAAGGTACCCACAAAGTATTGCATATACACATGCAATAAAGCCAAACCTTCTTGGGCACAATTACATTATAATTTCATTTGATCATTATGACAAAGATTATGCTGTTTTACCAATTCATCACTACCTTTTGTTAGGTCTGTTACAAATATTTTGTTATTCAATAGTTTTATTATTATGCTTTATATATATATATACGCATAATAATAAAAGTAACTTTTCTTATTCTCATTCTAAAACATATTCAAGGCAATAAAGTATATATGCTCAAGTTATATATATATATATATATATGCTGTGTCTTATTTATATTTAGTGTATTATTTGGTTTGTGGTAATTTGTGGTGCTTTATGATCCCTTATTTCAGTGAACTAGAAGGTGTAAGAATAGTGTTCACTAATATATTAGAAAATATCATAACAAATTACAACCACCATTGATTTGTTTTTGTTAGTGACATGAACACCCTTGTGACCTGTACTCCATTCACTGCCATGGACCGTATCCAGCCTTTTACCGTTACCATTGCAACTAATTGTTTATTGCTAATTGTAAGTATAGAAAGTTTTTAGTAAAGGGTTATTTTTATATTGGTTTATCCTAATCATTTGGCACATCTGTAAATTAATGTAAGCTATGGTGATATTTATGGCTGATTAGTCTTTAAAACCTTGTTCAATCTAGGGACTAATTTGGAAATAATCCTACCACATAACTTAGATCTTACATTTCACATTAGAAAATAATTGCTTATGAATAGTGTATGATTAACAAGCTGTTTGTTTTTGTAATATATAATTGAAATTTCGGAATAAACAAAATTAAAACTCATTGTAGTTAACTAAAACTTAATAAATATAGTAATGGTCAAACTATTTTTTGAGTTTAAAACTTTACAGTGTTGATATTCAAAAGTATTTGTTTGCTCAAAATGTGTGTAATAGAAAAAAAGCCATAACATTTAGTCAAGATGTTTATAAGAAAACATTTTTTTCACTGAAGCAGTACAAAAAAATTGTGAAATCTTTATAAAATGAAAATTGCAGTTGAGAATTTTGCCTTTGAAAAGAGTTAAGTATTGAAATTCTTTAAGTAAGACCGAAACAATTCTAAACAAAAGTCCAGGGGTAATTGTTAGTTCATTACAAATGAAAATAGTCCAAAACTTAGTTTCTTGTAGTGAGACTGAATTATTGTATCAAGGTAATAGTAGTTCAAGTAGAATTGTATGCAGAATTTTATGTAAAAAGTATTTCTTTCTGTGGAGGGAATGTTACTTATTGTGGTTTTACTTGTTAATTTATCACTTTATGAATGAAGAGTACTTCTTTATATTTTGAAACTTATTATATACATTCTTAGAACAATAAAAAAATTGTTGCTTTCAGTATCTTTCTAAAATACTTTAATGTAATTTTTTGTCCTTAATGTTTAAATATTTTCAGGGTGTTTTACTTTTATTAATTAAAAGTTCACTATTTTGTCAGGATTTCCACTGCCATCTTTCTAACAGTGAAGTTGTAGGCTATCTTGGAGGAAGCTGGGACATTGCATCTCATAGTAAGAGTTATTTAAGTACTTTATTGTAAAAAAAACTACATGGTTTTATTTTGTGACTATTCTCAAAAGTGAAAAGTGGTTGCAAGTGTTTGTTATAAATGTACTGTGTATGTTAATGTTTTACTAAAGTCATGAGAACAATTTTCTGACAAACCTACTGGAGCTCAGATTTTTTGTGGCCATGTTTTCTCTTCAAGTTGAAAATAAATATGTGGATAGTGTGTATTATAAATACTTAAATAATATATGAAAATTTTGATATTTAGTGAAACCAAAAGTACATTAAAATCAATTCAGTTTGATGGTTCAATCCTCTGGAATATATCTTCATCCTGATTACACCTGAGCCATTGAATAATTTTGTAATAGTATTATATGATGCAATATGATTTTATAAAACACCTTGCTTTATACCATGTAATTATTCATTGGATTAATTTAAGTACAAAGGTGGTCGATTTGACCGACCTTGGAACTATCTTATAATCATAAAACTATACAATGTAAAACTTTCAATGTACTAAGTGTAATCCCTATTGTTCTCAAAATTCCCATCTTCCCCAGAAATCCACTTCTCAAGCCATGCTTGCTATTAA